TCTATATCTATCCTAGATTTCATGAAAGGGCTCATTTAGTTCCTGTTTAAACGCTAAGATCTCATCCCTTAATGCAGTCATGTGTCCCGGTGAGAAAACCTTAGCTATAAACTTGTCGGCCAATTCATCCCATGTAGTGATGGAAGGATTGGGGAGTCTTTCGTGCCAGTCCAAAGCTTTCCCTCTAAGTGAAAATTGGAATAATCTCAGTTTCAATGCATCCTCCGACACATTTGTTTGTTTGCTTCCCCAGCAGGTATCCACAAAGCCCTTTAGATGTTTATATGTATTCTAATGGGGAGCGCCTATGTCACGACCCAATTCCCGAACCCGGTCGTGATGGCACCTCTTGTGAAGACAATGCCATCCAGATCAAATAGAACACCTCTTTTAAACAGTTAAATATCTTAAATAGTTCTAAAGCATGATATAATATCCATAAATTGCGAAATTAACGATAACAATAGTAGAAACCATCCCGACACAGCCCAAACTGGGGTGTCACAAGTCATGAGCAACTAAGAAATCCGGATACAAGTCTACTGAACACTAAATCTGATACAATAGTTCTACAAACATGAAAATGATAAGATAAGGGAGGCACGGGGCTGCGAACGCCAACAGCTACCTCGTAGTCTCCGAATCACTGCCTGAACTGGGAGAATCAGCACTCAAGTGCGGACTCTGCGATGCCTTAATTTGCACACATAGTGCAGGGAGTAATGTGAGTACTCCAACTCAGTAAGTAATAATTATAAATAATGGCTGAAAGTATGAAAACACGTAAAGGCACAAAGCAATTCTATATCAAGCAGTAAAATCACTTAAAACAATAAATCAGTGAAGAAATCAAATGATATTCCTTTTTTAAAAACAAGTAAAACAGGTAATTTAACAAGTAAATAACAAGTAGAAATCTGTCCCTCGGGCACAGTATCAATCGCTCAGAATAGTATCAGCCCCTCGAGCTCACTCTCAGTACAGTATCAGCCCCTCGGGCTCAGTATCAATCACTCAGAACAGTATCAGCCCCTCGGGCTCACTCTCAGATCATAATGGGTACCCCGCGCTCACTATGGGTGTGCAAACTTCGGAGGGGGCCCTTACGGCCCAAGCGCTATATCAAGCCACCTCGTGGCAACATCACTCGGCACTTGGCCTCACATCACTCAAGCCACCTCGTGGCATAGAAAGTATCTCATATCACTCAGCATGTCCTCACATATGGCCCTCAGCCTCACTCAGTCCAAAAATTATCATAAGCCTCTTGGGCATCAGTAAAACAGTAGTGCTCAGCGCAAACAACATTTGAAAGATCATTTAAGTCTCAAATTCAAGTAAAAGTGGCTGAGTTTGTAAAGTAGTGTAAATCAATAGGACTGAGTTCAAGTAGTATGTCAAAATAGTGAGGAAACAGTGATAAAAGTCCATGAAGGATTCAAATAGTGGCACGAAGCCCAAATATGGCAATAAGCCCAAGTCATGATGATAACAATTAAGTCTCAGACAAATACACGGTAAAAACATCAATCGGGATGGACCAATTCACAATCCCCAGTAGTAAATGACCCCGCGCTCGCCATTAAGTGTGTGTCTCACCTCAATATAGCACTACGTTGTGCAATCCGGGTTTCAAACCCTCAGGACATCATTCACAATCATTACTCACCTCAAGCCGGCCAAAACTCTAGCTCGATATGCCCTTGCCTCTCAAATCAACCTCCTCGCGCGTCGAATCTAACCAAGACCACAACGAATACGTCACAATAGGCTAAGGGAACAATACCCAATCGAAAACAATCGAAAAATATCAAAAATCCCAAAATTGGCAAAACCCGAGCCCCGGGCCCACTTCTTGAAACTCAAAAATTTTTACATCATTAGATTCCTTATCTCGCCACGAGTTCATACATATAAAAATCACAAGAATCGGAGTTCAATTAACAACCCTTCAAATCCCTAATCTTAGTTCTCATAAGTTCAAGCCATAACCTCCATTTTTAGTCCATGATTTTCTTAACTTTCCAGTCTTAATTCATGTAATAACACCATAGGATTGTGTTTTCATCCAAAAATCCTTACCTTATCAAAGATCCTTGAAATCCCTATTCAAAATCGTCCAAAATTCTCCAAGTCCGAAGTTAGAAATGAGAAACCCTTCAAAATTCGCGAAGAAGAACTTAAATACCTTCTGCCCAGCCATAACCGCATCTGCGGTCAAATAGCCGCTTCTGCGGTACCGCTTCTGCGGTTGATACTCTGCATCTGCGGAACCTCATTAAGTCCCGCCTGGCCACATCTGCGGTCCAATAGCTGCATCTGTGGCTCCGCAGGTGAGGCTCCCTATCCGCATCTGCGGTCCCAGCCAATCCTTGCCTTTTTCGCTTCTGCGACCCCCAACCCGCATCTGTGACACCGCACCTGCGGTCCCCAAACCGCAGTTGCAAAAATACCTGAAGCACCAGAAAATCTACAACAACACAAGTCCAAACTCTTCCCGTTAGCCATCCGAAACCACCCCGAGGCCCCCGGAACCTCAACCAAACACACCAACGCATCTTAAATCATCATTCAAACTTGTTCCAATCATCAAATCACTTCGAACAATACCAAAACCGTCAATTCACATCGAATTCAAGCCTAAGTTCTTCTAAAACTTCCGAAACACGCATTCAATCAAAAACCCGACCAAATTACCTCCGAATGACCTGAAATTTTACACACGCATCCCAAATCACCTAACGAAGCTACTGCAACTCTCGAAATTCCATTCCGACCCTCGGATCAAAATTTCACCTACCAACCGGAAATCGCCAAAATACTAACTTTGCCAAAACAAGCTAATTTCTACACCGAACTTCCAAAAACCCTTTCGACCATGCTCCTAAGTCACAAATCATCCCCCGAAGCTAATGGAATCACCGGAAATCACATCCGAGCCCTCTAACTCATAAGTCAACATCCAGTTGACTTTTCCAAACTAAGCCTTCCTTAAAGAGACTAAGTGTCTCATTTCCTACCAAAACCAATCCAAATCGACTTGATCACACCAATTACAGATAATGAAGCATAAAGAAGCTAAAAACGGGGAAAACGGAGCGGTAACTCATGAGACGACGGGTCGGGTCGTCACATCCTATGAAGTACCCTCTTTGCTCCAATAAGGTCAGCATGACATTTGTAATCTGGAAATTGCCCGCCCGGATACGAGGTGGGACAATTGCACTTGCGTACCCTTCATTTGGAAGCACCCGAGGAGCCACTCGTGGGGCAACTGGGGGAGGTTCTGGAATATTGTCATTGGCCTGGCGGCCTCTTCTTTGAGCTTGAGGTACTAGAGACACCTCATCTTCACCATTATCATCTACCTCCTCCCTCGTGATAACATTTTTGATAGGATCATTGTTTGCCATTTTGTACCTAAATCGATTAATTCACACAAGTTATTAAAGCAGAAGGAAAGAAAAATAAAACACACAACTAGTCAGATAGATAGCTAAAACCATTTAACTCCCCGGCAACAGTGCCAAAAAGTGATCGGCTCCAACCCTACACCACTATATAATGGCGAGGAGTGGTCGATGCAGCTTTTACCATAAGGGTCGGGATCAATTTCCACAGAGAGTTAATATTGGTTTGGAGTTGGGTTTCTATCTAATCTAGTTATGTGTGTTGCTTTTAATTGCACTTCTAACCATGTTTGGAGTTGTTACTATTCTACTTTCAATACTATTGATTGCTAAAAATAAACTAAGTACAATATTTTTGTAAAATTTTCTCAAGTAATAAAAAGCACTAGGGAAGTGACTTACACCTAGGCGAGTATCTAATGGGATCTAAAATTTAGGACAATCTTGTTATATTTGGGTTCGTGATATAACCTTTACACAAAAATACTCACTCTATACCTCTTGGTAGTTTGAGTGACTTTGTCATAATTGGCTTTCTCAAGCCCAATCGGGTGTTCAAACAATACAAGTAAAATTGGCTCAAGTTGGGTATTACTATCTCTAGGTTTAACCCTTTAATTGGGGATATCAATCTCTTGAGTGCACTCCAATTCCTTGTTAGCCTAATTTTCCTAGACTTAGTCCCTCTTTCTCAAGAAGAGTCTAAGTCATAAAGGCATGAATCAGTGTTTGCAACCACTAATTCTACAATTAAAGCATGAATCAAGTTAAATATCATTAACCCATAAAAATTAAGCCCTAAAATAGAAGACCCATTAAATACCCACACTAGGGTTGGGTTACAACCCTAGCTAATGGGTTTAGCTACTCATAATAAAGGTAGAAATCAAAGATGAAGATGAAATATAAGCCATAAAAGTTAATTACAAGAAGAAAATCTAAGATTAATCGCTAAAGTTGTTTTAAAATTACTCTAAATAGTAAAATGCGGTTGTTCACGAGCTCCTCAATACAAAATCTGACCTAAGAATCTGAAAAAGATCTATTTATACACAGCTGAAATTACTGGACAAAAATACCCCTACGGAGGTTCCGCTGTCAGCGCAATACTGAGCGCTTCAGCGCTTGGACTTCTGCGGACGCGCAAAAGCAAGCGCTATTGACATCCAATTTTGTCCTTCTATACCCGAATTTGTCATACCGAGCTGTTATTTTAACTTTAAAAAGTCATAATGATTTTTATCTTAATTGGAGTATTATAAGTTCATCCTTTACCTTTATTATATTTTTTGCTACATATTTTATTGGTTAAATAGTTTCCCTTAACATAAGGCATTATAATTTATTTTTAAGTATATTTACATAAAGGTGTATTTATTTAAATATTTATTTCTGCCTCACAAATTTTATGCAAGTATTTGGATTACCTTTTGTTAATTATCTTCTCTCATTATTATAATTATATTATTTAACTTAATATTGTCATTATTTATATTATTAGTGTCATCATTGGTGGTGGTGGTGGTGTTGTTGTTGTTGTTGTTATATACCCACCTACCTTTGCTTATTTCTTGCCAGCAAAAACTCATTTGCACTAAGACCAAACCAACTTTCCATAGACTTTATCTATTATTTTTTTTCCCAAAAATTACTAGAAAACTAGATTAATCCCTAAACTAAATCCCATTCCCAGCACCCCCTCGCCCATTCCATTCCCCCATTTGTTTCATTTTACTTTGTCTTTAACTTATTGTTTCTTCCTTCTTTTTCAATTTATACCCGTTAAACACATTCCTCTTCAAGTCAAAGCTTTCTTTTCCCTTCCTCTTTGCATTATGGTGATTTAGGAGTACCTTTTGAAAGAAACTTGCAAAGATTTGAGGAAAGAATCTCATTGAAGAATCCGTTCAAGTTCAAGATATTAAAACAGGTAAGTATTTGTTGTAATCTTTTGCTCCTTTTCATTATTTATTCACGGATTTTTCTCTTTCTTTTCTATCAATTTGACTCAAAATCTCAATCTTGTACGCTTTCCTTTTGAAAACTTTTATTTTATGTCATAGATTCTTGCCCTAGTTATGGGATAACTTAATTTCGGGGATTTTCTTTTGCACTTGTATTGAATCAGATTTATTAAAAATGGTCTAATTGATCTCTAATTTCTCTAAGTGATACGGTCAAAATCAATTCTTTCCTAATTTGCAGCCTTAAATTACATTCTGCTAATTTACTTAAGTAATAACTTTCTACAAGTATAAATACTTGTAAATTTTGAGCTAAAAGGAGGACTTTTGATTATTGCTCTTCATCACTTTCATAACTTTTCTTTTACTGTGATATACTGCATTCACTGCTCTTCGGCTAATTCTTTGCTTATTGCAAGCCAAAGCAAAGTTTGTTTTCTTTTATTTCACTCGACACAAGTGTTGCTAGAAATTCTTAGAAGTTCTGGTGATCTCGGAGCGTCGAGATTTGAGTATTGATTTCTTGTCGCTATCATTCGAGTTTTCTCATTGCAATCAATGCATATTTCTTGAGTTTTTTTTTTTGGCCTATTTACTGCTGTTGAAGCTCTGTTCGTGAATCATTATTTGGATTTCTGGTTTTCTTATGAATTTGGCACTCCACGAACCGGTTAGTTTCTTGAACGACGCATTATGATTCCTTTACGTGTTGGTTGTTGTTAGAATAGACTAGTCATTCTCTTTAGTTTTGTATTTTGTACACTCTTGGCCATGCCGAGATGCCGAGTGTCGTGCGGCACTCTATTGAAATTATGCCAATATAATAACCAGGTATGTCTCTTAAATTCAGGTGTGTTTTTGATCTTTTGACTTTACGTGTGAGTTTTTGAATATGAGACGACCTGACTATAAATGTTTTTAGGATTTGTTCTGGAACCCTGGTAACTAGGAAATCATTTCTTTTATTTAGGACTAAAGATTGCATAAATAAGAGAAACACCAACTTATCTGCTATGTTCAACGATTTAGTTTAGGAATTCTGCCTAAAAGACTTCGAATGATATTTGTAAGTTCCATGATCTTCATTCTGTGAATATAGCTGAATTCAGGTTGCATAGGTATCATTTCAGCGAGTATTTCTTAGTTAATAAAAGGAGACATTGAATTGTTAAAACTTCATCCCTTAAACCTTAAGATTGTTTGCCGGTCTTATGTGGTTAAAACTACCTTGCCTAAATCAGTGCACTTGTTTTGCCACTTAGACACCATGTTTAGGATTAAATGACCTAATATACTGCATGTCCAGTTGTGGATAGTATGTCGGAAGCTAAGAGTTATATTCGTTTGCTTTGTTGGCTATAAATTTACTTCCATGATGTTCTCAAACACGGATACCATGTCCTTAGAATTTTAATTCATCTAGATATTCAGTCTATGGATAAAACATCCAGATAACTTGTTATCCATAATGCTTGTACTTTAATTTGTTTGAGTAATTGTTTATCTGATTTGAACACTAGAAATGCTCTAATTAGGAACTAACAGTAAGAGAAGTCAACAACTTTGTTTGTGTTAAAGGCTAGCGAGTTGTATTTCTCAGCATGTTCTTTATCTTTACATGACTAAATTGCAAATAGTTTGAACCAAATACTTGAAGTTATATTATTTGGAAGTAACGAGTTAAATCTATTTTCGCGATAATTCGATCTCCATGTGCGTTGCATATGTGTTCCGGTTGGGCTATGGTGTTATAGGATGGCTTAATTCGAGCATTGAGCGAGGATTTGGAGTCGCCTGGGAAGAGGAAGGTTTAAGAATTATTGTGTTGGAATTTACTTTGCGCCTGAAGCTCATTAGTTTAGCATGTGTTGTAATGTTGGCCTTATAATGCTACAAATAATCTATAATTGTGTAAAAGGGATGATTGGGGCTGGAACTTGTTTGTCACTTGTTGCTGCTATGTGCTATTTGCTATCATGGTTTGTTTCTATTTTTACTAATCATTGAAGTCATGCTTTCATTTTCAATATTATTACCATGCTTATAGAATTTAAGTAACAGGGAGAAGTGATTTTCTGTTTAGCTAATAATAATGATTTTTAATGCACTCAATTTCCTTTTAACAGTGGAGATTGCTAATTGTTTTAAACCTGTCGTCAAACTGGTTTTACAAAAAAATACCCTTGATTCATTTCATGGAAACAAGAACTGTTAAGTAAGTATAGTCTTCCTATAATATTTTTATTAAAGGCTTGGGGGCTAGTAACAATCTTTGTATACAAGTAAGTTTTCTGGCATACAATTTTCAGATCAGGTATCTTATTTCAATTCATATTTCTCATCTACCTTTACATAAAAGAGTACATAGCTTTATACTTTAATCCAAACTATTTTATCTTCTACTCAACATTTTTAGTAATTTAATAATTATGTTTATTCTAGTATGCTTATACTTGAGTTGCGTAGTATCAATTCAAGAAAGTTATTATATTATAAGAGTTCATTTCACTACTTTAATTATCATCTCTCAACTTAATTAATTCAGAGGCCAACATAAGCCCTTACATGCCTTATGTGTTACTTGTTTAAGTCCCAAAGTACCCTTTTATGTGACGTTAATAAGAATAGAAATAGAAACCTGAGATTTTCTTTATGTCTAGAACCATCCTTTTAGAATAGTGTCCAAAGCCTCTTGGACTATAAGAAGGGACAGGTAGTTTTAAATTAAGACGCGATATAGAAATGATTAGTGCGCTTTAGGTAATAACTTAAAGATAGTAATGAGGGTAGCAGACATGGTACACAAATTGCCCGAATAGCTATTGCACTTTTGGATATAAAAGTCTTAGCAGACTTTGCACGGGAGTTGATCCATCAAGCTTAAAAATTTAGGTCCCCTTTTACGTAATTAAGTAGGCTTTCTATGATTTACAATTCTTACATTTTTCCATGATTAGTTTTAATTAATTGCTTTTAATTTATGTATACACTTGACCACATAGGATTAATTCACAACTCAACAACTTGCAACCTAGTTTAATTCAATAATTTCACATAGTGTAAATTCGGTCGGGACCTACAGTTGTGGACCTCGAAGAGTGCCTAACACCTTCTCTTTGAGGTAATTTGAGCTCTTACCCGATCTTTGGTGACGTTGACTAGTCAAATAGAGTTATTTACAAATAGGTGTCCTAAAGCACCTTAAAATCATTAGGTGGAGACTCTTCTCTTTTAATACCCATTTAAAAGAGTTGTCACGACGTCGAAGCCTGTTATCGCGAGAAAAGGGGGCGCGACAAGCGCGGACCGCATTTCTTTCATTCTATACTGGGACTGGACTTGATTTCGCTAGGAGTGTAAAAGCAACCGCCTCAGCGATGTCTTCAACCGCGGCCGCGTAATATGTTCGCGGACCATGCTCTTTAATTGAGCTCAAATTTCCATTCCTCTTATTCACAATTTCGCCTTCAGCGGAATTTAAACCACGACCAGGTCAAGTATTCCGTTGCCGCTCTATTTCACTATAGTCAGTGGTATCTGTTATACCCAAAAGTATCTTCTCTGAATCTCACTTCCGCTGGCAGCGTAATTGTGGCAGCCTCAGCGGTGAACCTTCCGTGGTCGCACTATTTCATCGTTGTCAGTGCTTTTAGCTCAGCTTTGAACTTGTGCAGGTTTAACTCCTTTATGAGCTGGTTATGACTTTCTTGCTTTATTTTGACCAAACCCTGCAAACAAGCACAATAAGTTAGTTTTCGGAAATACTTTTACACATTTTTTATCTAAAACCTAAGCAAAAGAGAGCATAAGATAGGCTAGAATCCGTAGTTATCAGAGACTCCCGAAGAAGTGCATGCTCGTGGCTTTGAGCTCTCAGCTGATATCGAGAATGCAAAAGCTTTAGAGGATGAGGCTGCCGCTTTACTCTCCGATGATGAAGACTCTGCTAGTAGTTCCGAGAACGGAGGAGATGAGGATGAAGTCCCCAAGGGACATGTCCCCAAAGATGCGGCTCCCAAAGTAGATTAGGGTCTTAGTATTTTGTTTTTTTTGTTTTTGTGTAAGGCCCCTTGTGGGCACTGTAAATACCCTTTATGAATATAAGGAATTCCTTTTCTTTCCGTTCCATCTCCGATTTGTTTCGAATTCTGCTTCGTCTTTATTTTGTGAAAAATTTTGATGTTATAACTTCAATGATCGAGTGAGCACTGGCTCAGACTCAGAGTAGAACAAACCCTTATGTTTTTTAGAAATAAATGGGCGATCTTTGAACTTATAATGGAATACTTCTTAAGATTGTTTTATGGATCCTCGAGCTATGCTTAAGTCGATTTGATGCGAGCTCGGGATGATGGGACCCTTAGGTCCATGTTGAGTGAGAACAAGGTCTCGAACTCTACATGTTTTGGCCCTTAGGTTCTTTTAGATCGGGTCATTATGGCCTCTAAGAGATGGCTATTATTTCCCCTTTTCGGCTTAGAAGACTTAGTAAAAATTTATTTATGCCTTGGCATGCATTTTTTACTCATTGGTTTTTTTGAGGGTTCGGTGTCGATCGGAACCCTTTGTTTTTAGTGCCTTAGCACAAGTTTGTATTTGGATAATTTGATACCTCTTAAGGTTTTTCGAGGGATGATTTTATCGAAGCCCTTTGATTATTTTGCTGAGGGTATCCTTTATTTAACCGCTTTTTTGAGAATTCAAAGGCTTGTTTTTATTATGGAATTTGAACATCTCTAAGCCACGTTATTTCGGCCGTAGCCTTTAATATGGCCGTAGGCTTCGGGTGTGTCTCTTGGACTTGTTTCCCGATAGCATTTCGAATTTGTTCGAAATGTGAGTCCTCGAGTATGATGGCCTTGGCCTTCATGTCAAGGGTTGCCTATTTGAGATTTTATGAATTCGAGTTTAGATGACGCAAATGTGTTGACTATCGATGATAGTCCCTGAGTATTCGAGGTGTATTTGTGTTTTAGACCTTGAGCCATTTCTCATAGAATCACAAGTATGGAGCTCGACTATCCTATATGGACACGGATCATCTGACCTTTTGGCCTATTACAAAGTTTTTCCTATCGAGACCCTCTTTGGCGTGAAGCATTTTTCTCAAAAATATAGCCCCCGAGGGTGATGCCCCCCAGTATTCGAGGTTGATTGAAAAGAAGCCTTGGATATTGTTGAATTCTTCCTAGGTAGCACATAGTTGTTGTCTCGTTAAAAACCTTACAGGAAAAACCCATTTGGGATAAAACCTGATCTAAGGGAAAAAGAGTGCAACGCGTGCTTTAAAACCTAAGGTCTTCATGTAGAATGGTGTTCTCGATGTCTTCAAACGAACATCTGCAATGAGTTAGTCTTAAATATAAATAGAGAAAGCAGAAGGTCATACCTTAGCAGTAATACCGTTTGAGTAGTGATACATTCCAATTATTTGGCAATTGTTCGCCTTCCATCGTGTCAAGCTTGTAAGATCCTTTACCGATAACTCTGATGACTCGGTACGGTCCTTCCCAATTCGGGCCTAGTTTCCCTTCATTCGGGTCTCGATATTGAGGGTGACTTTCCGTAGAACTAAGTCCCCGATTCTGAAGTGTCGAAGGTTGGTCCTTCTATTATAATATCTCTCAATTCTTTGCTTCTACACGGCCATCCGAACAATTGCAGCTTCTCATTTTTCATCTAGTAGCTCGAGGCTAGTATTCATAGCCTTGTGATTTGATTCCTCCGATGCATGTTGAAATCTGGCGCTAGGTTCCTCGACCTCGATCGGAATCAAAGCCTCGGAGCCATATACTAAGGAGAACGGGGTTGCCCTTGTGCTAGACTTCGATATCGTTCAATATGCCCAAAGAACCTCGGGCGAAACTTCTCTCCATTTTCCTTTAGCGTCGTTCAACCTTTTCTTCAAATTTTGAATGATAGTCTTGTTTGTCGATTCGGCCTGCCCGTTTCTGCTCAGATGATATTGCGTTGATAAAATCCTTTTTATTTTGTGTGCTTCGAGGAACTCCGTTACCTTGTTGCTGATGAATTATTTGCCGTTGTCGTATACGATTTCAGTAGGTATCCCTAATCGACACACGATGTGGTCCCAGATGAAGTTAATAACTTCTGTTTCTCTGACCTTCTCGAAGGCATGTGTTTCCACCCATTTAGAAAAGTAGTCAGTCATAAACAAAATGAATTTAGCTTTGCCTGGGGCCGTTGGTAGAGGGCCAATGATGTCCATTCCCCATTTCATGAAAGGCTACGGGGAGAGGACTGAGTGAAGTTGCTCTCTGGGCTGATGAATCATCGGTGCAAACCTTTGACATTTATCACATTTTCTAACAAACTCCTTAGTGTCTTTTTCCATGCTATCCCAATAATACTCTGCTCTAATAATTTTACAAATCAAAGACTCGGCGCCGGAGTGATTCCCACAAGTGCCTTTGTGGATTTCTTGTAAAATATAATCGGTGTCTCCCGGCCCTAAACATACCGCCAATGGTCCATCGAACATCCTCCTGTATAATGTTCCATCGTCATCCAATGTGAACCTAGAAGCCTTGGTTCGTAGAGCCCTCGCCTCTTTATGATCCGATGAGAGCTTTCCATTTTTCAAATATTCGATATACTTATTCCTCCAATCCCAAGTCAAACTTATAGAATTTATCTCGGCATGCCCCTCCTCGACCACAGATCTCGATAGTTGGACGACAGTCCCCGGGATAATATCATCTTCCTCGACTGATGACCCCAAAGTTGCAAGTGCATCTACCTTACTATTTTGCTCTCGAGGTACATGGTCTAGAGTCCATTCCTTGAAGCGATGCAAGGTTACCTGTAGCTTGTCCAAATATCTTTGCATTCTATCCTCTCGAACTTCGAAGTTTTTGGTTACTTGGTTTACCACCAACAAGGAATCGCACTTAGCTTTAACGACTTCTTCCCCCAAGCTCTTAGCTAGCTCGAGACCTGCAATCATGGCCTCATACTCGGCCTCATTATTAGTCAACCTAGAAGTATTGATAAATTGTCTAATAGTGTTACCTGTAGGCGGCTTCAAAACGATGCCAAGCCCGAACCCTTTCACA